CAATGGGAAGACACCTTAGAAGCTACCCTCATGCCAGGTTCCCGGATCATGAGGACTTACTAAGACATCCTCTACTCGACGATCACCTTTCGAGGCAAGGCAACAGTGAGGCGTACCCTAGGGGTGGTGTGTGATTTGTGTGTCATGTTCGTTTATTTTTATCTTATTCATGTCATGGGTGATCTACGCGTTATTTTTATTTTGACATTCATTCTTGCATGCATTTGTTAACAGTTAAAAATTGCGAGAAAGATAAAATTCTAAACTATTACAAAAGGCGCGGGTCCACATCGCCAAAATTTCCAGAACCCGATTTGACAGAAAAATAAAGGAATAATGAAAAGTAAAGTGCGGGAAATTAATTACACGGCTTTGGGAGAGGTACATAAATATTACACGAGAAAGAAATAAACACGCGAATTAAATAAGAATTAAAAACGAGGGCGTTGGACCCTTTTTTGCAAAATTAAATTAAATGATGAAATTAATTAATTAAAAAAGAAAAGAAATTGTTTTTGGTATTTTTTGGTATTTTATGATTTTAATGCAATTAAACCTAATACTACAATTTTTATTTTATTATGAAAACATATTAAAGTTTAACCTAAAATTAACCCTAATTATTTTACATGCAATTTAATTACAAAAATAAGTAATAGTAAATATTTAATTATTATGAAAGAAAATAGAAAGGGATAAAAAATTAATTAAACCCTAATTCTACCAATTTTAGATTTTTTTTAATGAAAATATTACAATTAAACCTAATTTAATAACTAAAATTAATTAATGCAATTTATTTACAAAAATACTAAAAATAAAAATATTTATTATTTTTTTATCTTTTCTGATTTTTTTATTGTTTTTTGTGTTTTTATGAAAAATAATTAAATTACAAGAATTAATAAAAAGAATAATAATTGATAATAAAAAAAGAATGACAAAAAAGAAAAATATTGCAAACCTCAGGGGGTGTTGTCCCCAGTTGTGAGGTACAGCCCAGTGATTCTAGCCCATTACTGGAGGTCTTGTTGACTTTTTCAGGCAGCGTGTGGGGGCATTGACTAGAGTTCACCATATTCCACGGATCCTGTCCCTTGATTGAGCGCAATTGGCCAAGTGGCATGCTGGATTGAGGAGCGTATGATAGACCATGGAAGGGCCAAAGTACCTGATCACATTTCAAAGAAAAAAAAAGGGAATATGAGGGGGACCTGGGATCGAACCCAGGTCCTATTGATCACCAAATGCTTTCTCCACCGCTAGGCCATTCACACGCTTTTGTTTATATAATAATCAACAATCAATATAAAAGAAAACGAAAGTTAGTGTTATTCTCGCGCGAAAAATTTGAATTAACCAGTTGCTGATGGCCACCTCATCTTCTTCTTCCTTGGTTTTATTTTTCCCTGAAACACAAATAATCAGCAACGGTTTTCTAAACGTTCCAAAAGGTGCCTTTCCAGAAAATAACGAATAGCTTGTAGTGGCTCATAAATTGAGCGCGAGGGTGGATTTAGCATCGTCCAAGCATGCTGAGTTGAATGGCCTAAGTTTCAAGCTCCAATTTTTCCATATTAAAAAACCCCTAATTCGAAAGCTTAAGAACCCTAAAAAACAACAATGGTGAAATCGCATATAGGTGATAAAAATATAATTAAATTACATAGCTAGCATCAGGAGAGTCTCATTAGTACAAATCCATGAACAAAATGCAATGAGAATGCTGGGAATTTAAAATACGATTATAGGAAAAGTATGAACAAGTTTGATCTCTGTATACCGTTTCAAGGTGCTAGGGACGTGGAAATCTATTCAGTTAGGATCAGTGATGTCCTAGGAAGGTAATAGGATGAGTTTCTTGGCTCGAATCGACCTCTAACCTTGTTTTCAGTTTTGAGTTTTCAAGCTAAAAGTGTGAGTTTGATAATGGAGTTTATGCGCAGCTTTTTTGGTAATGAGCATTAGGTCTTGCTTGTGTATGTATAGATGAATGGTTTAGGTTAAGTTTCTTGTCCAAGGAATCAAAGAATTGATGTATGGATATTTGATTTTTATGGCAAAATATTTTCAAATCTTTTCATGCACATTTGCTCTCAATCATATCCAATCACCTTCAATTCTTCCCTAATTGATCATGCACGAATGTTTGAACCTATTACATGCACAAAAAGATTTGATAAATTAGGTTTAGTATTTTTCATGTATTTAATTAATTTAAATGAATTATTAATAATAAAAATCCAAATAAATAAATAAAAAATGAAGAAAAACTTCCCTTTGGGCCAAATGGTCGTGCACATACCTTGGATAATGAATTGTGGAAGAAAAAGAGGCCCATTAGCAATTTTAGGTCATTTGAAACAATGTTGACTTTTCCAAAATATCCAAAAATTTCCCAACTTCCACAAGTCATAACTTGCTCCATTTTTAAGCTTTGCTCATGTTCTTGGACATTTTGGAAAGGTCTTTGAGTCCTCTAACCAATTCCTTTGGTCCCATGTCATTTTGATTTACCAATCTCAAGTTATGGCCTTTGACTTAAAGTCCCTTTTTGTTGACTTTTGAAAATGACCTATAATGTTGAAATTGATAACTTTTCGTGAGAGCATTTCTTGGACTTGGAGTGTGAAGAGGAGTTGTATGAAATGTCTTTCTCTTCAAAATGAGCTTTGGATGGAATTTTTCTGATAATCCATGTGAAAGTTATGCCCTGGTCAATTTACAGTTGACTTTTTCAACTGTCCAAATAAGAAAACTTTTGCATCTTGATGATTTTTGAGCCAAGATTTGAGAATCATGATCAAGCATTGATCAAATGATGTTTGTGGCTTCAAAATGAGATGTTGACCAAAAATTTGGACTTTTGACTGTCAAACGACCATTTTGCCCCTACAGTTGACTGTAGTGCAATTAGGGTTTTTGACTGTGCAATTTTGTGCTGAAAGTCTTGAAACTTTGTATGAGGATGCTTGACCATGTTTATAGGCATGTGGGACTTGATTGGACCCTTGGAAACTTTATTTTCTTGATCAGAACCAAAACCCTAATTTTGACTGCTTAGGAGGCCCTTGAACTGTGCAACCTTTGGGGAGATTTTGAAGCTTGACTTTGCAATTCTTGAAGAATATGGGAGGGCAAATTTTGGGGTACAACACACCCCTTTTATCATCCTCAAGAAATTTAGTAATTGCCATAACAGCGGAGTCGAATATTATAAACTATTAATTAAGAATACAAATGATATTAGCTAATGCATTTGTACACTTATTGGATTCTCGGCACGCATGTTCGATCTTCACCTTATCATGCTTCTTAATAAAGCGTATAGTTCTTTTTATAAGAGCTACACCTTCCCCATTTCTTGTTCTCCCCTTATCAATAGCTTGCACTACTTCCATTGAGTCTACATTTATCCTCGCATTACGCATGGCTAAACTCTCTGTAACTTTCAAACCTTCTGCAACTCCTTACAATTCCTCCATGACAACACTACACAACCCCAATGATTTAGAAAAACCATTAATCCAGTTCTCGTGTTTATCTCGAACGAGCCCACCACACCCAACTATTGCATTATTCTTGGACGTGTCGTCAACATTGAGTTTAACTTCATTGTCATCCTGAGGAATCCAGCCAATCATCTTAGTTGTACTTCTGCAATTCTGGACTTCTCTATTTAAGGTCATAGCAGCCTCATGATCTTTGTGTCTCTTCAAAATGCAATCTTTTGGGTTATACGGTCTTAAGAAATCCTCATTATACTCTTCCATATTCCTCCAAATTCCAAAGAACATGACAAGCAATTTTTCAGGTATTACTCCAACTTATATCTGAAATGTTGAGGTTGATCCTCTCCTTCGGATCATAATAAAAAAAATCGTCAAAAATTCTGCTAGGCACACATGTTGCCCACATCTGCCTAGCTTTACTACAGTAACGTAAAGCATGAAGAATAGTTTCACATTTATTGATAGAGAGTTAATATAGTTTATTATGTACTTTATATTAGTTATTGTTTTGTAATAATTCTAGAATGTTCTTAGATTCTTTAAAGGTTGTTGGATTGGAATTTTATAAGTTTGGGCTCTATTTAATTATCCATTAGAAGTATTATATATGTAGTCTATTGAGACATTGAAAGATCATCAAAAAGAAATGAAAAAGTTTTATTTTCTTTAATTCTCAGATTTCTCTAAGTTTGTTAAGGTTTTCAAATTAGCTTTCTAACATTGGTGCTTTCATTCAAGTACTCAAATTCTCCTATGAATTATCCTTATCATAGACCTTCATATCATCCATGGAGCATTCCTCTTACGTATCTCACAAACCTCTCTTTTACATCTCCAATTACTTCCTCATTTCCATCTTTTCCATGGGAAATTTTCTCATCTTATTCCCCAAATCTACATGTTACAAGCCCATATTTGTATTTTAATCATGGATATACACAACTCCACCCACCTAACTCATATTCATCATATTCATCTTCACATTATTCATACTACTACAATACTTATCATCAACAACTACAACAAACAAAAACCTCATCCACAATTAAAAGAGATTTTGAGAAGCATTTGCAAGTGTCTCGTCTCTCTTATAAGAAAAGATTAAAAAAAATCTCTAAAAGCCATTAGATCTATAGACCCACTTCAAACCCTTTATCATCTTCCTCGTAGACCCACGTATCTCTCCACCTCCCGGAAACTTCTTTCAAACCTTCTAATTCACAACAACAAACACCTCTTTCCTCTCATTTAGATTCTCTTATTCACCATATCAAACACCTTTCTTCAACCCCTATAACCACTCACGCACAAACACTTGTTCCTTTAAACCACCCCAACAAAACCCAACTTTCTTCTCTTCAGTTTTCCATTGATGAAAACGAGGAGAATCTTCAATAAGAGCAAGGAAAACTGCCCACTTCAGCTTCTGTTGAGTATAACCGATTTAATGATGCAAAGTTTGGATTTTTAGCGGATAAGGGTAAGAATATGCTTAATTCGATTGTTGGGTCGTCTTTGAATGACTTGATTGAGTATGTCAATTCTATGAAACCAGAGTTGCTTGAATCTGATGTTACTAGTTTGTTGAAGGGTTTGGACCTTTCTAGGAATTGGGAAAGAGCCTTTTTGTTGTTTGAATGGGTTTGGTTGAATTTTGGGTCGAAGAATGTGAAAGTGAATAACCAATCTGTTGAACTTACAGTCAAGATATTGGGTAGAGAGTCACAATATTCAATTTCTTCCAAGCTGTTTGATATAATTCATGTTGAGGAATTTTCACTTGATGTGAGGGCTTGTACTACGGTTCTTCATGCTTATGCTCGAACTGAGAAGTATAAACGAGCTATTGAGATATTTGAGAAGATGAAGGAGACTGGTCTTAATCCAACTTTGGTTACTTACAATGTTATGCTTGATGTTTATGGAAAAATGGGGCGGTCTTGGAATATAATTTTGGAGTTGTTAGATGAGATGAAGAGTAAAGGGCTTGAGTTTGATGAGTTTATGTGTAGCACTGTGAATCGGCTTGTGAGAAAGAGTGTATGTTTGAAGAAGAAGAGGACTTTATTAAGAATTTTCCATTTAAGCCTACTGTCTCAGTATTGGAGACCCTAAAAAATTTTTGCTCAACTTCATGGAGAATTAGAAATCATCAAAAAACAGTCGCCACCCTTAAAACCACCCGACATCATCTTATCTCAATCACCACAACCAAGCGATGTCGTCAGGGAAGCCAAGAGCAATTTTGATTGTGTGATTGAGGTGGATGATGGTAGCCATGTCGAGGCTTCTGTTGATCATTATATTGACAGTGAGATTGATGACTCGGTTTCAGATACGAACGTAGAGTTTAATAACACCTTGAGTACTACTAAGTTTAATAATGTCTATGTGAAAAAACTATCAGAGGTAGTTATTGATGATGACTTGAAGAGCATTTTTGGAGAATATGGAACTATTACTAGTGTTGTAGTAAGGAGAGATGTAGATGGTAAATTGAAATGTTTTGGTTTTGTCAATTTTGAAAATGCAGATGCTGCTGCTAAAGATGTGAAGGCACTTATCGGAAAGAAGTTATATGAAAATGAGTGTTATGTTGGAAAAGCCCTGAAAAAATATTAAAAGGGAGCTTGGACAGAAAGAAAAACTTTGTGGGGATAACTTTGTGCACTATGATCATGATTTGGAAAGTTATGCACTTTTTGGTAACAATGGGACTCAAGTTTCCCAGGAATTGGTAACAAAAGTTGGTGAAGTGTTTGAGACAATTTTACTTGAGAACAAAGTTATCCTATATTTTGAGAATTTATTTTGGCCTACCGTAGAGTTTTTGGGAGTAGTTGCAGATACATCTTATGGATGTAGTTATTTCCTCAATCTCCACAAGGTTGCAAGTCATCCCACCCTTGTTTACATGCCTTCTAGGCGGCTCGCCAATGACATTGAAAAAAGTCCTTGTTTTTATATTTTCTTGTTTTGGAAAACGGCAAAAACATTATTGATTGGACTTTGTTTGCATCAAATGTTACTCTAGTTGAGACCGTTCCACAAGTAACTCAAGATAAATTGTCGGTTATGATTGTTCCGTTTAAGCAATGAGATTCGGGAGAAATTTTAGAACCTTGAGGACAAGGTTTGAGTGAATCCGGCGGCAATAATAGAGAATTAATATAGTTTATTTAGTATTTTATATTAGTTGTTGTTTTGTAATAATTCTATAATGTTCTTAGGATCTTTAAAGGTTTTTGAATTGGGTTTTTATAAGTTTAGGCTTTATTTAATTATCCATTAGAAATATTATATATGCAGTCCCATGAGACATTGAAATATCATAAAAAAGAAATGAAAAAGTTTTATTTCCTTAGTTTATCTTTTTAATTCTTAGTTTTCTCTAAGTTTGTTAAGATTTCCAAATTAGCTTCGTAACATTGATTTCCACATAGATTACAACCTGCATAACCAATTACTTTCCAGCTTTTACTTTATAAAAAATATAATTTATGTCAAGATTAATTAGAAGTTTTATTTCCTTAGTTTATCTTCTTGATTCTTATTTATGTCATATAATTTTTAAAAGGTAAGATATATCAATATTCTTTAAAAGATAATAAAAAATATTAATTTTAAATTTCTTACTATATAAATTTCAATATTTATTCAATAAATTAAAAAATAATTTTTTTAAAGATTTTTGAATTGTTATAAAAAAATTAAACAGGCTTTTCTTTTTCAATAAAGCACCAATTTATTAAAAGAAAATAGAAGTAAAAAAGAGTGACAAGACTATATGTCAATAGCCACTCAAAAAGAATTGAACCTAAAAAAGACAACTCAAATATATTTTATTTTTGTAACATCATTCCTAATTTTCACGGGGATGGGATAAAAAAGTGTAAGAGAATTAGTTGCGAGACCTATATAATATAGTAAAAGAATGGTACAACTATTTCTATATTTATAAAGGTGTATGAAAAATGACATTCACAATTGCTTCAATGCAACAATTCCATAGATTTCTTATCTCCCAAGGTACCATAGTAGGCTTAAAGGATGCTTGCACAATCGAAAGAGAATTTGTTTCTAGTCAAAGTTTTGACTGAAATCTATCCTCTGTAATCTCTATTTCTGTAAGCACAACACTAAATTCAACATGTATTGATGAGTTCCATAAAAAAAGGGTTTTACAATGGCAAGAATAAGTCTCCTTTTATATCTCTATAAATACCTTCACAAACAAAATTATGAGTATCCCGAATGAAAACATCATCACGTTTTCCCTTTTTCTAGTCGAGAATCAGTGGCTTCCAAAGGACCTCTTTGATCATTGGGGCACGAGCAGGGTGAATGTGACATTGAAAGTCTTAATCAGATTGAAATAAAACATTGAAGAAGATGTTACTAGTGAATATTCTCTTGTTAGTGCGTGAGACACTTTTAGTGAGGAGAGAAAAAGGGAATAATAAAGGAAATAAGGATTTGTATTATTGAATAGTACAAATAATGATACAAACTATGACTATTTATGTACAACCCTAATTAGGCTCGGGTATATACAACTTGGATTATATTTAAATATTAAATATAATCTAATATTTTAACAAATCTAATTTAATATTTCAACACACCCTCATAATCCAAGTTGTCAAACATATGCTAGTCATAGTCGATCTGAACTATTCTTAATTTCTTTCTCAAATTCAAGAATTTATCGATCTTCAGTCCTTTGGTGAAAATGTCGGCCAACTGTGCTTCACTCAAGCAATGCCTTACTTCAAGTTCACCTCGATTTACCTTTTCCCTCAAGAAGTGAAACCTTGCTTCAATATGTTTACTTCTTCCATGTAGAATTGGATTCTTTGCCAGATTTATGGCTGACTTGTTATCGATTTGTAATACAAGAGGTTTCTTCACTTCGACCTTCATTCTTCAAGTACATATTTGATCCAAATTTCTTGACATGCAACATAGGATTCTGCTATATATTCAGCTTCAAAAGATGATAATGCCACCACAAGTTGTTTCTTCGAACACCATGAGATTGGGGTACCAAATACTTGAAAGAAATATCCAGTTGTGCTTCTTCGATCTTCCATATCTCCACACCAATCAGCATCTGAAAAATAATTAACTATTGCTTCTTTGTCTTTAGAATCTCGTCGAAATAGTATTCCACAGTTTATCGAATCTTTCAAATATCTCAGGATTCTTCTTGCAGCCTTCATATGTGACACTCTTGGTTCACTCATATATATACTTACTAATCCTAGAGTAAAACCTATATCAGGTCGACTGTTGCACACATACCTCAGAGATCCCATAATTTGCTTGAACAAAGTTACATCGACTTTGTCTTCCTCTCCATTCTTCTCCAATTTTACATTTGGTTCGATAGGTGAGGATGCAGGATTCAAATCATCCATCTTGAATCTCTTAAGTATTTCTTTGACATACTTCCTTTGATGTATCACCATACCTTGCTTCGACATTTGAAATTCTATACCTAAGAAATAAGACAATTTTCCCAGATCAGACATTTCAAATTCCTTCATCATAAGCTCTTTGAACTTCAATAATTTCTCCAAGCTATTTCCAATCACTAGCAATTGATCGACATATAAGCAGATGATCGTTATATATTGTGCTACAACCTAAACATAGAAACCATACTCAGATTTGCATTTGACAAATCCCAATTCGACTAAGTATGAGTCGATCTTCTTGTTTCATGCCCTAGGTGCCTGCTTGAGGCCATAGAGTGCTTTGTGCAACTTATATACTTTACTCGCTTCCTTCTGAATCACAAGCCCTGGAGGTTGTGTGACATAGACCTCTTCGTCTAAAGGACCATTCAGAAATGCTGATTTCATATCTAAATGAAATGTCGATCAACCTTGGTTGCATGCCAATGCTACCACTAGTCGAATAGTCTTCAATCTTTCTATTAGATCAAATACTTCAGAGTAGCCGAGTCTTTCTCTTTGAAGAAAACCTCGAGCTACTAATCTTGCTTTATGTCTTGCTATCGATCTATCTACATTGTGTTTCAATATGAACACCCACTTTACTTCGATAGCTTTCGTATGTGCTGGCAATTCGACTAACTCCCATGTGTTGTTTCTTTCGATCGCCTGCAACTCTTCGACCATAGTTAACTTCCACTGTTTAGTCTTCAAAGCTTCGCTATAGTTAATTGGTTCAGCACCTGCAAGTAAAGCAAAATGAACTAATTTTTCATCTGGTGTGACTTCATCATCACCCACCACTTCATAATCATGAAGTCTTGTTGGAAGAACTCTATTTCTTTGAGGTCTTTGACTTGTTTCAGCCACAGCCTCTTCGACTTCGATTGTGTCGGGAATGTCAGCAACTGCTTCTTCTTCGACTTCGACTGGATTCTCAGCAATTCCTTCGACCTCTACTTCATCAGTTTCTTCATCGACACTCGAACTCATCAATGGCTTGTTAATTGAATTGCTAGAATTCCAATCCAAGGAAGAATTTTCATTGATCACAATATCTCGACTCAACACAATCTTGTCATTAACTGGATTGAATAGTCTGTATGCACCAGTTTTATGATATCCTACCAGAATCATAGGTTCACTCTTGTCAGCAAGTTTCCTTCTTCTTGCATCGGGAACATGCTTGTAACACATAGAGCAAAACACCTTCAAATGACTCACTGGTGGTCGTTTGCCACTCCATACTTCTTCAGGAACTTTGTTCTTCAATATCTTGGTAGGACACCTATTCAAAATATAAACTGCAGTCAAAATAGCTTCTCCCCATAAAAATTTTGGCAAATTCTTTTGCTTCAGCATGCATCTCGCCATATCTAATATGGTTCTGTTTCTTCTTTCAGCAATTCCATTATGTTAAGGTGTATAAGGAGTAGTTACATCATGATCAACACCATATTCCGCACAGAAATCTTCAAATATCTTGGATGTGTATTCGCCACCTCCATCTGTTCGCAGAACTTTGATCTTCTTCTCACTGTGGTTTTCGACAAGTATCTTGAATCTCTTAAAGATTTCAAATACTTCGTCCTTTCGTTTGATCACATAGATTCACAACTTTCGACTAAACTCATCGATAAACGAAACAAAATATATGTTTCCACCAATTGTATGTTCTTCGAATGGACCACATACATCTGAATGTACCACTTCGAGTATGCAAGATGATCTCATTGGCATAGTCAAAACGAAAGAATTTTTGGATTGCTTTCCTACTAAAAAACCTTCACAAAGTTTTTCAGGCATCTCAAGACTTGGAATTCCAGTAACCATATCTTGAGTAATCAGTTGATTGAGTGATCAAAAATTCAAATGTCCAAACCTCAAATGCCACAACCAACTATTCTTGTGGTCAACAACAGTTTTCAAACATTGAACTTCTGTGGAACTGATCATAGTCTTAAATGTCTTGTTCTTCGACAACGGAGATTGTTAGACCAAATTGTTCTTGGTGTCGAACAATTTCAAAACTCCATCTTTCATGACAACTGAGAAACCTTTTTCGATTAGTTGTCCAACACTTAACAAGTTACAATTTCATTAAAATCATGGATTAAATCTGACAACATAATTGTTATCATACTTTGAATGATAGTTTTAATT